GGACAGCACAGAGCCAGGCTCTGAATCCACCCCTGCGGGTCCCGCAGCCAGGGCGTTTCCCAGGGCACCACGCCTCGGTCCCGGCCTGGGTCCTGCAGCCCCAGGCTTGCTCTCACCTGTCTCTGCCTTCCTTTCTGCTCTAGTCTGTCATGCTTTCAGACGCTGGCCAGGAAGCAGGCCCAAACCCCATATCACAACCAGGTCTGCAGGCCCAGGCCTCCCTCTGTCCACCGGGTGTTCAGATCGTGCCTGGCTTGGAGTCCCCTGAAGCAAGTGCCCTCGTATTCCGGAGTCAGGATCCAGTTAATTCCACTGATTCTTTGTTTCCACAGTTTAAGGTCTCTGAAATTGGGATGCATTTTACCATCAATGCCACGAATGCTGCAGGCCATTAGTGATGCAGTGGCGATGGTCCACGTGTGCTTGAACTGGGCTGTTTTTCCTGGAGGCATGTGGCTGGACCACTGCAAACCCCCAATGTGGGTCAAAAAAATTTATGAACCACTTGGGGAAGGAATGAACCATAATTATATGAAAATCTTTCCTTGACATTGTCTGATAAGATGAAATAAACTTGGAGAATTAGTGTCAGTGGTTGGAATAAATTTCTGGAGTCAACAGTGGCTCAAGTTCTGCCCTGTCAACCCTTTTGAGTGCACAGAGGATGGCGCTGTGTGTGGAAACGTGGGCCTCAATGACTCTGAGTTGAATGGTAGCTCCGATGGCTAGACCCTGAATACGAAAATGTTTTACAGACATCTTCACCAATTCATTTCCCTCATATTTATCTAAACACTTCCAATTTTCATTACTTTTCATTCTTTCTCATGTTTCAAACTTCCATACGGGGTCATTTGCTTCTCTTAAAGTACAGTTTCTTGAGAACTTACCATCTGCTTGTGGCCAACTTGTTTTTGTTTGAAAATATTATTTTGTCCTCTTTCTTGAAATATATTGTTACTGGACAAGGAATTCTACACTCCTGCTATAGTCTTCGAGCACTTTGGAGATGACATTCCTTTTTCACAGACTTCCATGGTTGCCATGAAGAACACAGACACGTTCCTATATATAAAATAGATAAACACAAGCACCTACTGTAGAGCACAGGGAACTATATTCAATTTCTTGTAATAACTTACAATGGAAAAGGACCTAAAAAATAAAAACAAAATGTGTGTATGTATATGTGTAACTGAATCACTTTGCTGTACACCTGAAGTTAGCATTGTAAATCAACCACATTTCAATAGAAAAAAAGAATTCAGCTTTGGGTCAGCCACTGCTTTACAGGCAATCTGTCTCTTTCTCCCCCCTTCTTCTCTTTGGTGTTCTCAGTTTCATGAGTGTGTATCCAGAGGTGACTTTCTTTGTATTTATCCTACTTGGGAAATCATTGGCCTTCCTAAAGCCTTGAATTACTGCCTTTTATCATTTCTGAACTGTTAGTCATTATTTCTTCAAATATTGCCTCTCTCACACCCTCTTTCTTATCTCTTTGTGAACCCCTGACCAGAGCGATGTTAGACCTTCTTGCTCTATCCTCCCTGCCTTTTAACTTTTCTTTCATATTTTCTTTCCCATCTTTTTGACGCTCTGGGATGCATGTTGGACAATTTCCTCTCATCTGTATTCCACTTCATGAGTTCTCTCTTCAGCCATATCTAATCAGCACTTAAACCAGTAACTGAATGGTAATTTCAGTTATTATATTATTTTCCTTCCTAAAATTACATCAATTCTTTTAAAAAATATTCCAGGTGGTTTCAATTTTTCTTGAAATGTTTTTCTTTAAATGCATAAGCATTGTTATTTTATAATCTTTACCTGTTCATTCCTAATATCTTTTCATGTCTGCCTCTGTGCTCTTTTGCTTCTGCTGTGTCTATTTCATGGCATGTTATTTCCTTATTTATTAAGTATTTTTCATGGTGTCTGTTCATTTTCCTTATGGGAATTATTTGATGTATAGGATGAAGACGAATTCCTACAGAGAGAATTTATGCTTGTTTCTGCCAGGCACTTTGGGTACACTATCAAGTGGATCCACTTTGCACTAAATTCAAGGGTTTGAGGTTTTTGGTTTTTTTAAAACTAACCAGATCTTGTGAATTTGAGTTACAAATCTAGGCAAGTGCTGGCTTGTGATTGCAGTTACCAGGGACCGTTTTTTCTTTTCCCTCTCTATGCTCGGTGCTAAGCCTCTTCACTTCAGATGGTCCTGGGCTTTATCTTTGGCCCCAAGCACCTTGCAAAGCTACGGAAACTGAAGCTCAGGGATCCCATTCTTCGCAGATTCCTTCACAGTAGAAGTGGCTCCAGTGCTCCTCCTCCCTCTCTGTGTTTCCACTTCCACATACATTTTGGTCTCATATGTTTTAAACCATTTTGCCAGCTCTTCCAGATTTTAAGATTTCTGAAGTTTATCCAATCCTTTCAGTTGTCCTGCAGTGGGAAAGAGTTGCTACCAGTAACTGTGGCGTCAGGAACAAAAGACCCACCTGCTTCCTTTCCTTGGAGGCCCAGCTGGTGTCTTGCTGCCTAGGGCTGCCAACTGCTAAGCCCCAGGCAAGCCCCAGGTGGAGCATGGCATCACCCCACACTCTGGGAATTCCTGTGCCTCCTGCTTCCACCAAGCTTCACATTATCATAAACTAAGGAAGATGTGATGTTGCCAGTTATCTAGGCCAGAGTTCTCAGGCAGAAAACCCCACCAGCACCATATACGAGTGTTATATTGGTCAGGAGTGAGGGCTCTGGGGCTAACTGGCTAGCCCCAAACTTGGCTTCACACTTACTGCATGACTTTGGGAAGTGACTCAGCCTCTGTGCCTGCCCACTTCTGTAAAATGGGATGAATATTAGAAACCACATAAAATGTTAGTTTTGAGAGTCAAATGAGGTCTGAGTCAGCAGTTAGTGTAGTACCTTGTCCCAATATTAAGTGAACGGTAGCCATTATTATTATTATTATTACTATTATTATTATTAGAACTCCCCAAGGAGCATCTTAAGTACACAGTCAGGCCCTCTCTCAGGTCCCTCAGGTCTACGGAATTAGAATCTCTCTGAGTGGGGCCTTAATGAGGGTGCCCATACCTCCATGGAAAAGCTGGACCCACAGCACAACCTGGACTCACCTGTGCA